TATATTAAGAGAGAGAGAGAGAGAGAATGAGAGAGAGAAAGAGAGAGCGAGGGGGGAGGAGGGGGAGAGCAACTACCTCCAAGAAGTCTAAAGGCAGAACTAAGGAAATCCAGGGAGCAGATGAACAAATAGAGTAGTCCCAGCAGCAATACAAGTCGAAGCGCCAACCACGCTACTCGGAGAAACTTGCCTTTGTCGTCCAACTCTGATGACAGATAAGAAATAAAAGTTTAAAAATGAATACGAATAGAATGTGGTAAATGTTGACAGGCTCTCGGAGCAAGTCCAGCTAGTCACAGGAAGAAGTTAAAAAGAAAGAAAAGAAAAAAAAAAATTTTTCCATGCACAGTGCACGCATCAAATAAAACAGATATCCAATTAAAAGTATATTATAATGAACGAATTGTCTCTTATGTGGACGGGGTTTTTTTCTCCTCTGGTGATGGGGTATGAGAGATTATCAAACAGCAGAAACATTTGATGGCTGGCGCGCGCGCGCGTGTGTTTGTGTGTGTGTGTGTGTGTGTGTGTGTGTGTGTGTGTGTGTGTGTGTGTGTACTTTTTAGAATGACTGTTACGGCTGGTTGCCATGGGGCAGCTTCCTGATTTTTAGCTAAAGCTGTTCTTCAAATCAAAAAAAGATAAAAATGACATAGTTCCAAACGGCAGGAGACAGCTCGGTGCTTCATCACTGTAATCGACATCACAAAATCCAAGCTAGATCTACTAATCTGAGATAATAATTTCACTCACTTGAACATGACTCTCTGACTTAAGACATAGTAGTATAACAGTATCATCAAACATAATTATTTTTATGGGATGAGGATGATGATGGGTGGGAGCAGCCAAAGAGAGGCTCGTGTCTAAAATGTTTGATGTAATGTATAGGATATAAATATCTAAGCTTATTAGTGACAAAGGAAACCATAGTCAGAGTGCCTATAGTGTACATCTATGAGTAATTGAAACTGACGATGGAATAGTTTCGTATGAATTTGACTCAGAGAATACCCAGCACCATGTCCGTCTTTGATTATAATTGACACGTACATGATAATTTAGAACACTGACTGCTTTTACCATGTCTGCAAGGGCAACAAAACTGAGTGCGATGAAATGTCCCAACAGTCAAGATTGAGGTACTCGATAAAAAGTACTACAGCACCTGGGAATCGAACGCAGGGCTTTGAAGTTAAGTAATGTCACAGAGTCTAACATAACACCACAAACACCGGGAAGGTGTGTGGAAGGCGTAAATCTTTATAATATTTTTGTTTTACCTTCCCAAGGCACTGTATCATCTTTCAGTTCCGGCAACGCCCACGCATCGTCTTCCTCATTTTGTTCTTTCTTCTCTTCTGTTGTCTTCGCCTTGACGTCTTTCGGGTCGTCAAACTCATAAGAAGGGACAGAACTCTTGTAATCAGCTAAAGAACCGTAACTATCCTGATTATCTCCTGTAAAACCGTGATTACTTTGACCATGATGCATCCTTGTGCTGTTCTTGGATATTGCGTTGCTTATTGGACTGATATTATTTCTGCGCTTTACCAGAATCGACTTCGCTGAATTTCGTGGCTTGGAGAAAAGTTCAGTAGAACTGTCATGAGAATTCAAAGCATTAATTGTACTTTGATAGAGGTAGGAGGTGATGTCTGAGTCTGCATAGCAGAAATCCTTGTCCAATACAAAAAGCTGACTTGTAAATGAAAGTTGTTCCTGGAATAAAAAAGATCAGATAAACATTTTGCGAGTGTTGCTCTGAAATTAAAGTAAAAGGTAACTCAGAGTACTAGATTATATTCTATTAAGGAGAAGTCAAAGATTGAAGTGCAAGCTGTCGTTCGGTTTTTGAGCGTAAAAGGGAACAATATATCTCGAATTCACTCTGAATAAGTGGCTATATATAGCAATGATGTGTTGAGTTTTTAAAAAACCCAAAGAAAACAACACCCCCCCCCCTCCCCATCCCCAGAAAAAACCCTAACAAACCCAGGCACATCAAAGGTTCTGTTTGTTCAGAGGAGGGCGTTCAAACTTTGGTGACAAACGCTGATCAGGACAGCTACAAACTCCCACGTCAAAAAACAACCTGATGCAGATTGACGATTATGATGCATGAACTGTTTGCTTGTAAACAGACTTTTATCTCAGGCTACCTGTGTTGGATTTAGCAAAGTGGATTGGCATTACTTGGTTTGGTATGATATGGTATGGCATGAAATGGCATGAAATGGCATGATATGGTATGGTATGGTATGGTATGGTATGGTATGGTGTGGTGTGGTGAGGTATGGTATGCATACTACGGATAGATATGACAGGATAATGGCGAGGTACATAATAATAAATTATGGTATGATTTAGGTTTAAAGTCCCTACATATTATCACGAGACAATGTGCGTATGCTCAAGATTTCTAAGGAATGATGCAAACCTGAAGACGCTTTAGAAGCAGCAGCAGCAGTAGTAGTAGTAGTAGTAGTAGTAGTAGTAGTAGTAGTAGTAGTAGTAATAGTAGTAGTAGTAGTAGTAGTAGTAGTAGTAGTAGAGTAGTAGTAGTAGTAGTAGTAGTAGTAGTAGTAGTAGTAG